GGTAAAAAGGTCATTTCATAAAGAGTAGTCATATATTGCATGTTAAGGTTATGCATAAAGCAGACCAGCTTTCTAAAGCTAAAAGAAAAAAAACACCCTATACGTGAACCTTCAATAAATACTTGACAGAACAGGTTATTTTTCTTGCCCTAACAAACTAACATGCCTTTTTTAATCTCTGATTCAAGCAGAAGGTATTTTGTCAGTTAATATTACAGAATTCTGGTCAAAATCCTTATGTTTCTTTGCTCACAAGAGCTGTTTTTTCTGATGCTTCTTTTTGAGCAAAGGCTTCGTGAGTTTTCTATAATAACAAACTCTATCTTCACCAAGGCACTATTGTATAGTGTATATGTAAATATTTATATTTTGTTTTAGAAGCTTACAGCAGATTTCTGGTGCTAAGATATCTATGTTCTCTTTTGCTAGCTTCAAAATCTGGTTGTTTTGTCTTTGGGTGGTGGCCCTTTGATAATCTGACCTTGGTTTGTTACTTAGATCTTTATATTCTTGCCATCTTTTTGCCCATTCTTATACTATTTTTTTATTATAGTAAATCTTCTTTACTGTCTCATGTATTGAGAGCTTGGGGCTCTTTGGGTAGCTAGTTAAAAACACAATTTCATATTACTTATATAAAGGAAGAGACATTTTTTGATTGAAAATTGGTACAGTCGATTCTGGATATACCGAACTACAGAGTCTGGAGGGTTTTGTTCGGTATAGAATGAGTTCGGTATATGGTTTGCTCTCTCTATACCGAACTGTTCGATATATAGAGCTGACCAATAGAATCATTTCACGTGACTAAAAATCGTTTCAATTTTCAACTCATTTATTTTATTTTACCCATGCGAAATACAAGTTTCAAGCGTTCCACAAATAGTACATACAAATTTAATTTTATATTTCTATTCTAATAAAAAAAATTTACTTGATTCAGCATTTATGAGTTGAGATCAGTCTGTTTAAGGCTTTTTATAATATTCAATCTAACTCTCTTGTACAACTTTCGTAAAACCTTTACTTCTTCAACATTTCTGAATTCTGGTCCCTGCTCATATAAAAATCTTAAAGTTTGGTTCATATATTTTTTGCCTCCATATAGCTAATTTTTACTTCTTCAACAAGGTCCTCTCTCTGTTCTTCCTCTTCCTCCTCCTTATCTTTACTTTTAACAATTTCCAAGATCTCTTCTTCAGTAAGACCTTCATTAACTTCTTCATTCTCAGCATGGATATAGTCAAATGCAGTAAGATGATCATTTGTTTCATTTGTTGGTAAATCGTTAATTAATTCTAAGAGTTTTAATTCATCATCCACATCACTAAATGTAAAATTTTTTTTTATATTAGCCATCAAAGATTTATTTATCCGAGTATTGGTTGATGTTTTATGTTTTAAGTTAAAATTGGCAAAAATATATATTTTAAGATTATTGTGCATAAATTTTATAAATTAATGCATATGAATCCTTAAAATGTACATTCAGTTATTACTAAATATACTTACATCTTTTCAAAAGTTTTATCAAATTCTTCAAAACCTTCTGTGAAAGAATACCTGTTTTTTTTCAACAGTTTTTAATAGTATTTGATGAGCAGGGACCAGAATTCAGAAATGTTGAAGAAGTAAAGGTTTTACGAA